TTGGGTGGGATGAGATGAACATTCACAGTTTTTGCAACAGCATCTAATGAAACTTTGAGGTAGATTTTTCCCCCCTCTCCCCACCATTTCAAGCTTCTGGCTGGCTCTCTCCAGTCCACCCTCCCCACCACCACCACCACCACCATTTTCTGTGCTTTCTCCTGACCTCCTGCATGCTGCCTTAAACACGGCTGTAAAAAGCTGGCAGAGCAGTAAGGTAAGGGGTGGGGGGGCCTGCAGCAGACATTTGCCACACTTCAGCCACTGACAACAACCATATAAAGTTGAAGGTAAAACATAAGATAAACATGGGTGCAGGGTCTCTGTTGAACTGTAAGAACTCTTTGGTAGTGGTAGGTATGTTAAAAAAACAGATAATAAGATACTTGAGCAGAAAGTTTCTGTTATCTCAGTGAAAGGGTGTGATTTAAATGAGAGACTAACTGTGTTCCTTCACTCCTGTCTAATGTGGCATCAGACTAGTAAGCTTGGTAAGAAAGCATAACTTTATTAGTAGTGTGATTTAAAAACAAAATGAATGATGCCTTTGTGTGGAGTGAAACTGTGCCTAGTGAAAAAAAAACCAAAACAAACCAAACAAAAAAAAACACAACCCTGCATTTGCTTTGTCGGGGAGTACAGGTGAGGTTGTTTTGATGGTGTTATTTGTGTTTCCACACACCACCCCCCCCCCACACACACTTTGGACAGATATTTTCAGAACACTTGACTGACAAGCCAAAGAGCTAGGTTTCTTTCTTGCTTTTTTTTTTTTTTAAAAAAAAAAAAGGTGCAGTCTTATTGTATACATAACTCTCTTAGAAATGAAGTTTTTGAAAGTTAGAAGATAGATCTCAAGACTTCTAAAAACCTTGGCTTAGAGTATCTGCTATATGAGTTTCTGCTGGCTTTGACCTTCAGGATATCTCTTTTTAAATGGCTTTCCTCAAAGGAAAGGAATCTGGAAGGGATGAAAAAATAGATACTTTTTCTTTGATAGCATTTACTTTTCCTATTGGGAGTGCTGATGCAGGGCTTTGAAGCAAAAGCAGAGTGAGCTGGTGGGTTGGTGACATGGAACAGTTTAGGAATGTCTCTTCTCAGCCTCTGCCCAAGACAGTTCATGGTGTTTGGTGGGGGTTTTTTTGCTGTTGTTGAGACAATGAGCAGGAAAGCCAGTATATGCAGAAGACAGCTTGAATTCCGGTGAATTGTGTTTTAGGTGTCAGATGCTGGATGTATGCTGTTGAACGTGTTATACAAGTAAGTGCATAAATCTATTTTAATTGCTTTCATTAAAAAATGTTTAAAAATCATAAATACTATGGGTCGGAAACAACATAAGACAAAGCAAGTAGTACAGTGATACACACCCACATTTATACTGTAAATCAAATATATGCTGTTATAGAGTAGAAATGCATTATTTTTTAGGAAAGTTAGTATTTCCAAAGAGATGTTGCATTGCTGAGGGTATTCTAGGCTAATAGGAAGAGTACTTGCATTGTTCAGCAAGAAGCTCTTCAGTACTTGTGTCATGACAGCAAATTTCTGAAATGTTACTGAGACAAAGTCACTCTTAATTCCCTTGATGAGTGGCACAGTGAGTGAGAGCAATTATCCCCAAATTTAGCTGTTCTTTTATTCTCAAACTGATGTGTATTTCCCCAAGATATTAACTAAACGGCTTCTACATAAAGCTCAGTCTTGCGAAACTGCTTGCATGCTATTCAGTCCAGCTATGTTGCTCAGTATTTGTGGTGTGCAATGAACTGCCTGGGCCTATTGTTTTTGTTCCCAGATCAAATCTCTGAAGACTTTGGCAGCCTCAAGCGCCGTTGAAGTCATTGTGCTCTGAAGAAGCTCAACTTTATTATGTTGTTGTTAAAAGTGTTAGAATTTTCAAAGGCCTACCCACCAAATATTGCAAATAACAGTAGCAAAACCTTTTCATTTTGTACCAACACTAGTGTGACTTGGAGACCAGTCCATCCTCCAAATGTACATCTGTTTGAGCAAAACGTTACCAGAAACAAGTTACAGGGATATTAAGACCATTGCTCAATAACCACAGCCATTATTTTGCAATGGTTTTTGAGCTCTGCAGGGGTTTTCCTGGGATCAGAACTTAGTTGAGCTTAGTAGCAATATTTTCAGTTGTGTCATATGGATTGTTTTGTGGTGTTAGAGCTGAATGCTGCTATCAGCCAGTTCAGAATTTCTAGTCATATAGATTTTGCAGCAACATATTTGCATGCTGTAACCTATAGCAAAATGCCATGTAATTTGAATTCCAGCTTTACCCACCGTGAGTCTTCTGGTTTGCATCACTATCCAGGGAGTGTGTCTGGGCACCGTTCCTATTTAACTTGTTTGCTTGAACATTATGCATCCAGGTGTATTATTTTCAAAACTTAGTCTTGAATATATAGGTGTAAAGTGTCCCAAGAGAAGCATATAGATAGTTGCCACTTAAACCACTTTTATAGAAATGACACATGGGGATTTTAAGATGAACTTCATGTGTTTTACCAAAACTCCAACTACATAGCACTTTGAGACACAAGTACAATCAGATGCTTTTTCTTGTACAGCTAAAAATACATGTTTTGGTTTTTTTCAATAGCTTTGCATATCTTTCCAGAAAGAACTACTCTTCTTAAGCAGCAGGTAAGGAAAAGAATATGGGTAAAATAGTTGGGGAGGAATAGGAAAGGATATTTAATATATTTAATCTTATTATACATTTTTCTACATTAAAGTCAACAGGCTGCAAATATATTCTGCTACAAAGCTTTGTGTAAGAAATATCTCTATAAGAAAATACATCTCATTAAACATTTCCTGTAAATAAATTATCCCAAATAACTATGTTTTGCAAGAGGAAAAGTGGGGGGTAGGCCAATGGTAAGAAGAGCTAAAAATTGCTGAGAGCGCATTTCTACACCCCCTGCCCCCACTCACGCTGGGTATCTTTTTTGTTTTTTTAATATGTAGTCACAATGAGAGCAATAGAGTTCCTCTGCTGAGTATGTGCTGTGTCAGTGTAAATAACACTTGCAAAATTGGTTCCTGTATTTTTTTAATATCTTGAAATTATGCTATTTCTGAGCATTATTCATGTTTCAGTTACACTGGGAAAAAACCTGAACTAACCAGGGTTGCAATGATAGGACTGCAAGATAAAACTCTGACTGAGACTATTAAAAACCAGAAGACCCTGTCTCTGAGCAGTCCCTCTAGGTAACAAAAACTAACTCCAGTAGGGAGAGAGGCAAATACGTGAAATACTCTTCTTATTTAGACTCTTATGAAAGATAAAGGTCAATGTAGCTGAGGTCTGTGTTCTAAATGGGAAGTCGGAGTCAGGTGGTGCAGCTAAAGCTATAGCTTTAAAATAACCACTGGTGGAGATGTGTCAGTGGAAAAAGGTGACAGATATGGGTGACGTGATCTTCAAAGTTAAACTACATACTGGTGTACCCGCATTGTTCAGAACCGATTAAATAGAAAAGTCCCTTGCATTACAAAACATGAAAATGGGTAACTATAAATGGGTAATTACAACTTAGCAGTAGGTCAATTATAGAATCAGATGTCGTTAAAGAAATATCAGTCTCTTTACCAATGTCTATACAAAGGAATACTTGCAAATAAGTAAAATGAAAAAAGTTTGAAAAGACCTGGGAGACAAGTCAAGGGATAGACACTGTCCTTTTTTTTTAACCAGTACACAAACAATGTAGAGTTGTCCACAGTCCATGTACTTCCATCATTCCTGGCAGAACAGTCCAGACTGAGCGGACAGCAAGTCCAGGCTGAATACGTGCTGGAGGCTGGTATGCTGTGGCATCACATGATGTTTAACAAGTCATTTGCGGTCATACCATCTTCTTACGTCCTTTTCTGCAGGAGAGGAGGTGCTCACAAGAGCCAACTCATTTTTCTTTGCTGCCTCTAAGAAACAACCCCATTATACTTCTGCAGAGTGCCATCAGTAGGCCATTGCTACTAATAAAATGTAAAAATTTGAGTTTGTAGCAGTATGCTCTAAACACCTCAACAAATGCCAACATCATCTGTTATAACAGCAACAGTGACACAACTTCACAGCTCTTTGTGCTAGGCACTTCAACACTCCTCTACTTCTTTTGGAAATGCCTTTAATGCAAGTATGCTTAGGCAAAGAAAGTATATTTAGGACTAATGAGCAACTGCCTGTATATAATTCTGGATTCAGCATGCACATGCTTCATCTGTTCAACCCAATGTATACTAGCAGTAAACTGAGGCAAATACAAGCAATTACGAGCCATACTATGACACTGAACTACATAAAGCATTTCAATTTACCTATGTATAGGAAACAAAACCCTGTTTAAATGCCTCCTCTTAGAGAAACCGCTGCTCTCTGGAAATTGTGAGATGGCAAGTTTTCATGTCTTTTATGAGGGCCTGCAAAACACAGCACTCTTGTCCTGCAGGAGTGCGTTCTTTGCTGGAGCGTCAGCCCTGAATGACAAGGGTGTGTGGACGTTCACAGTAACTTTATTTCCATTTCACACATCTGCAATGTGACCAATAACGTGTTGACAGATGAGTCTTCCTGGCATGCACTGCTTCCTATAGGAGTACAATGTATACAATTTATTTAGCAGTCATTACCATGCTGGAAACCCACTGTAGCCCTAACACTGAACCCTTGAAACATCACGGGACAACACAGCAAAGTAAGTGACATTAATTTCCACTGTACTTGTTTGCATACTAGCATTTCCCACAAACTGTAGAAGTTATTTACAGAAGAGCTGCACAGAAGGAGAACTCCAGCTGCACTTGCGTTTACCACCAGCTCAAAAAGAAATGCATTTGGTGTGACTTCTACCCTAGCTGTTACTTTAGCCATTCTGCTTTCATTCGCAGTCCTCATTTCCCACCATGCCGTAATGCATTAAATACATAAAGCCACAGTCACTTAATACTATCTTCCCAATCCTCGTTCAGATTTTCTGGCACACGTGAAGTCTTGATTTAGAAGAGGAGGTCGCATCTTTCCATACTTTGCAAGACAGCCCCTTGGCACAGTCACATCGTTGGAAAATCTCCAGTCCATGGGACCCTTTCTTGCGCTGTTTGGTGCACACCTCCCCCTGATGCAACACAGGCTTGCAAATTTTGGTCCAGAAATGGCGAGCGCAGCAGTGTCCCTCAATACAGTCTGATGACCGTAGGCAGGGATCGCCTTCATGTCCTAAAAAAAGAACAACCGAACTGTTTTACCTCATGGGAAAATGTGAAAGTACAGATTCAGTGCAAACTGATGCAAATGAAGCTCAGAAAAAGGAGAGATAATTCCATCTGTGGCTAGTTGAAGGATGTAGACCCAAAGGAAGATATGAATTAGGAAGGGTCAAGAGGGTAATTAATGAGACCTGCCGTAAGACTTGGTAAGGAGAAATTCAGCTACAGGATTGTCAACAGGATTACAAGTGCTTAATTACATGACTGCTACAAGAGGAGGATGTGTGCGATCTTGCACAACTGAAAAACGGATTGTCAGTCCAGCTCTGATACAGAGAAGAAAGCAGACGCTATTTCAATCACAGGAACTGTGTGTTGATTTTACATCACTTTTTGAGTCATGCTGTGAATTCTCATAACAGACATTCACTCCCTGTGAAAAATACTGCCTATTTCTGGTTCGCATTGCTGTATCTTAACAGCAATAACCTGATTCATTACATGAAGGAACAAAGCAGTGTAGTGCAAATGTGATCTTACCTTTTATGTGTGACAGCTTGGAGCGTGGCCTCCCTAGGTTTTGCCATCCCAAATCCTTGCTAGCATAATGACCGTTCTTCTTGTTGCGTGGCCCTTCTAGAGCAGGGATGTGAGGCGTAAGGATGCTTTCAGTTACTGGTATGCAAATACCTGCGAGGAAAAGACAGTCAGTCAAAGATCTGAACAAGAAGAAGAGCAACCAAGAGACTTATACAGAACAGGATTGGGACCAGGACCGTGAAAGTTCTGCGGCTTGGCCTCAGCGACACCCAGCTCTAATCACACCTCTGTCCCTGATCCCCGGCACCTAACTTCACCACAGCTCTGTGGCGTCACTCTGGCTTTGTGGTCTGAGCATCTGGAGACTGCCTCGTAGATATCTCTCTCAGGTCTCCAGAGGAGAGTATGGGAATGCAAACAGTACGGTTATAACCTCCCCAGGGAGAGTAGAACAAGGGTTCGTTAAGTCTCTTTTGCTTCCTTAAAAATATAGATTCTGTGCAGTCTTCCAGTGAATGAAACCACATTGAATGTAGTGCTGTGATTTCAGTCAGCAGCAGCATCATTTTTGGGTTTCCCATTCCAAAATGGGAAAAGTCTGGTAGTACACAAGCCTTAAAAATAGAAATATTATTAAAGAAAATGAAGCAGAGTGGAATGAAGTAGATAATGAAGTTTTCTTGGTTTAGAAAAAGCAGCACAGTCAGCCAGAAAAAAAAAAAAAAATACTGTTGCTGAGAACATTCAGAAAAATAGATGCTATCAAAATGATGATTTTTATGGAGAAAACCCAAGAAACTACTGACATACCATTGTTGCACCGGTTCCCAGGGCAGCACATGCCGTCTCTGTGGCAACGCTTCTTCTTCCTCCGACACATCATACATGCAGATGTTGCTTGATGAGGACTGTGACAGTATCGCCCAACTTCACATTCCTTATCATTGGTACAAGGATAGGCCTGGTGAGTAAAAGAAAGCTTTACAGTGAAGTATTGCTTTGTATGAAGCGTGTATGCAGCCCATTAAAAAAAAACCCAAAAAAGTAAAAAACCCACCACAGAAACCCCCAAACAAACCAACAGTGGAGACACTGTTCACTGGGGCCAGGAGAGGCAGGTTAGGGATGCTTCACTGCAGCCGCAATAGCAATCTTTAAGCTCAAGCTGCTGGTGAAGATGTATCTGCTTAAAGAATCAGGGAGATACAACCAGCTCCCTGGTGGTTTCATCTTTTCTTGCCTCAAACATATGTCGGCACAAGAGAACTCATATTTTTGTGCATTCAGGCCTCTGATTCATAGGTAAGAGCTTAAAACTCCACACTGAAGAATAAACAGAGCCATAAAACTCCTCTCAGTAGAAGTCCCAAAACACATCCTGCAATAGGTAACATTTTAATTTAAGCTCCAAGGAGGCATGTTCCTTTGATAGTTGTCTAACACACTGATGGATAATAAGTTCACTGCTCTCACAGCGAACAGCTACACCACATTGGTACAAGCTCCTTCACAATTGCACCACTCCCCACTGGCCCACACCAGCTGGACTCCTTGGAAGTGAACAAGCATCACTGGTCAGCATTTCACTTTGATAACCTTTACTTCACACGTGGGCTTAGTATACTGCTTAAACTGCCTGCTAAGCAACACCCTACGGTATGCAGCATGGAATATATTACATAGCACAAACTGTCTTGCACATATAATTCCCTGCAAGCAGAAACACACGTATATAATTCTCCTGTATTCATGAAAACCAGCATTGTCTTACAGGAAAACTGACTTTTAAAAAAAAGAGTGTGAAAGCACTGTATTTTCCCATAAAGAGAGAGAAAGAAAAGTTTATTCCTATAAGAGGAAAAGACATGATGCTTTAAGGAGACATAACGACACACACTGCCACATTCCAGGATCCTTTCTGTTGACTCCCACACAGCTACAACTATGCTCTCTGTCTGCATCTAATTTTACTGCCTATTAAATTAATCATAGCTTTTTCTCATTCCTCAAAATTACACTTGAGGAATTTGTTTAGATAAAAAGCTGAGAATAAATTTTGGGTACTTTTTGGAAAATTATGTTTACGCTTCCTCAACTAATTTTCTCCAGCACTTTAAATGAATCAAAGTATTGCTTTTACTGTTTTCAGAATGACTCTTAAAATTAATTATTCACCACAAACAAAAAGCTCATCTGACTATTTTTCAATGTAGGCTGATTACTTTTCTGATATTTTAAATCAATGCTTGATTATATTGTTCTCAGAAAAGAAAAACTTGGAGGCTGAGAATTTGCTCTGAAAATTGTTCTTTTAAATGGGGAATTTCTTGTTTCTCTGTCTTTGTGCCATTCTGTTGAGAATCGCAGAAGAAACAAGAGGTTTGATAATAAAACTGAGTAAGTTTCTCTAGTGCTGTTCGTGGGAAGGGGAACCACGCTGTTTCCCGTGTGATTTCATTAGCTGTTTTCTTTGTCAAAATTTACTTTACAGTACCAAAAGTGCTGGCTGGATATTTCCCAAGTGCTGCTGCCCCATTACTTCTGCCCTCTGAATATGTGTCTTTGAAGAATGATTCCAGAGCGCAGCTGTTTGGAGTAACCTGACGTATGTGTAAGTCTTTCTCCCTTAAGAATAAACATTTCCTCTTGGGTTCATACTCAAGAGGATGAACATCAAAGAAAGCCAGATCTTTTAGCTAGGAGGAGCAATAAGAGACAAATGCAAGCACTCACCTGTTCGGTACTCAAGGCAGAAGTGGATTCTACCTATTCTAGCAATAGGAACTAAAGTGCTCTCCCCTCAATCTCATCACTCCTTTCCCTCATTTTTCCAGCAATAAATCATTAACATTGACTTATAATTTATGATATAGTTACCATAAAAGTAAAGTTTCCCTGACACAAATGAGACCTTACTACAGTAAGGAGCATACAATGCAGAAAAATGATTTTACATAGACCTGTGCATGATTATATTGAGTTAGGAGAATACTAACACTGTTAGCTAGGGGAAATGCAAATAGAAAACAGATGAACTTGCTAAAACCTGGAGATGAAGGCTTTTTAGACCCTTGTCTGTCATCAAGACCTTCATAACCGCATCTTTTTTCCAATATGGGCATGTGGTATACACCTGCAACTTGTCAGCAAGAAGCCTACTTGCAGTTTTCTTTTGGTTCCTCAAATAGCTTTTAAAAAAAGAGTTCCCTGATCCTGAAGGGTGCTAATGAATGCTCTCACATACCGTATCTAGTGTCTGGTTTACTTTTGGCTTTTAGGCTGAGTGACATGTAAAAGATATTTTAAGATATGCATCTAATTGCCAACTCTCAGCTCTGTCTATAAGAATGGTAAAAATAACAAAAGACAATTTTGACACTAAAAATTGCCAAGGAAATTGACCTAACTCAGCCTTTAGTCCCACTCTACAGTCCCATGCTAAATAAAGATGACACGTCTATAATGAAAAAATAAGCCTGAACATTCACCTATCTAAGACAAACGACTACAGCACATCAAAAAACAGTTTTGTGTTACATGTAGCTCAGACAACAACTGGCAAACCCCAAAAGACCAGCTGCCAGCCAGCTATATGAAAAACCTTCCTGCAAATGCCTGATGCCATCAATTGCCTTGATCTTTCTTCCAAAACCACCATCCATTTGATATCCTAGCTATCAATCACAGGGAGCTTGAAACAAAAATGCATACATAGCCTTGTGTCTGTCTCCTAGTCACTAGACATTCATTCAAATAACTCCTGCTCCCAGAAAAGTAATTTCTATTGCTGCGGAGCATTCAGTATTAAAATACAAAAATAAAGTGTGTATATAGCCTTGGCTAACGGGACAAAATGTGTTCATAATCATCCCATTGTTGACAGTAGCTGAGCCAATCTATGTGTAAGTATGTATATATTTTTAAAAATACAGAATAAAGAAAACATACTTGTAAAAACGTACATGCTAACAATTGTCTATGCATGAGTCAAGGTTTTCAAAATCTCCTACGCCACAGTGCCTGAAACACAGTCTTTACGTTTAGAGAATTGCGGAGAACATTTCCTATATACAACGCAAAGACACAAATCAGTCCCAGATGGAGAAGGAAAAAGCAAGCTGTAAACCAGCTCTACTTCCCCAGCAATGATAACTAATTCTACAAGGCACATCATCCCTTCACATTCTTCAGCTATACATATAATTTTCTGGTCGTAAATCTCTAGCCACTAAAAAAAGCTTTGATATTATGGGAAACCAGATGAAACCAAGATAAAATATGTAGCACTCCCTGAAGCTGCATTTAAACAACCTTATTTAATTTTTTTAGCCCAGATTACAGGCAAACAAGTCACCCGTAGCATGACATAAACTAGATTTGCCTGTGATAATGAGTTGCATTTTTGGAATGTGTTGTCTGATTAAGAGCATTGCTCACTGAGATGTTTTCACCTCAGTCATTTCAATTACTTTTGTATCCTTGTATAAAAGATACTATTGAATACGTGTCCAAAAATGTACAGCAATGATGTACTGGATTTTTTGCAATGTTGGAGGATTCAGGCTAGACAGTTAAACAGGTGCTGCCCATGCTGTGCCAGGATGTCCCTGCGTCAGTCCTCAAAGACTAACCTTTGCCAGTCAGGTCACAGCAACACATAAATGTTTTTTGGGGGGGGGGGTTTGGGGGGTTTTTTTTTTGTTTTTTTTTTTTTTTTGAGGAGGAGAATATGAATCTCTGTTCCTACCCTTCCTGAATTTCTATTCAAAATGCCAAAAGCCCATATAGAAACGCTCAGGGAAAACAATGCAGATGATGATAAAGGAAAAAAGTTAGGAGGTTTTTATAGTTGAACAAGTCCTTCCAGGAGTACTACTGAGGCTCCTCCTTTTGTATTAACTTCACAGGGAGGCTGAGGAAGGGCCTAAGTGGCTAATGCCACTCCCTTGATTTGAGGAGTGTGCAGGAGTGAGGTTTATTTCTACCTTTGTTTTCACCTATTGGCAGAGGAGATCTAACTTAGCACCTTTTCTTGGTGCAATGAGGTTTTTCTTGATATTTCTGCTGGAGCCATTTACTATCCTGCTTGTTTTATACAGTCATCCTGAACCACAGAGTTTCACCGCAAGCTGGAGCCATACGAAGTGGTGGGACTGTTGTGCTATGGAGTCAGTCAGTTCGAGTCTGTCTGGCACTATAAAACATAACGGAGAAGCACTCCAGGAGTAGAGTAAGACAGATGCTGTAATGTGCTGAAGGGTGAGTCGACTGATGGGAGGCACACTTTATTGAGCTTTGGGAGATAAGGGCTTGAATTTCAGCATGGACTCCAGCAAATATTTGAAGACAATATTCCTGGCCAGTGTCTTAGTCACCAGGCTCTCATTTGCTCATATTATGATGTCTCATTTGTTTTTAATGCTGAAGCTACTCCACGCTGTACTATGTCAGAGAAAGGCAGGAAAAGCCACTGGCATTTTTACCTAGGCTGTGTCATCACTTAGCCAGCACAAGTTGTCCTAGACACTGCTGGCTTCAGACCCACCTTCAACACTGAGAGGAGCTGTGTCTAAATAAGTGATCTGATGGAACAGATATCAGTAGTGACTCCCCCAGAAGCAGTTAACTCTTTTTTTTTTTTTAAACACATCATAAAGTCCAAGTGCAGAGTCAGTCCTGGCAGGAGATCAGGAGATCGTGGCTACTACCACTCCCAGCAGAAGAAAGAGCATGGAGGTTATTCCTTACCCTTTTACTGTAGATGCTGAGCAGCACTCAAGAAGAGAACTAAAGTGTCATGTACCACGTAAATGACAATATCACTGCCATTACTGTACTGGACACTCAGCCAGCTTCTGTCTCATACTATCATCCTGTGATGGTACTGGGGACTGAGCTGAAGAACAGGATAAAAACCACAGCCAGTAGTACAGCAGGAAAGTAAGAGCAATGTAGAGCTAT